TTCTGCCCAGATAGGGCAATCTGAACAGCATCTCATATGGTGAAATTCCTATATCTTTTCTTGGTGCTTCTTAAACCTGTAGGAGTAAGCATTTTACCCAAGGAAGCTGGGTTTCTAACACTAGTTTAGTTAATTGCTTCTTTAATGTCTGATTCATTCGCTCCACCTTCCCAGAAGAGGAGGGGTGCCAGGGGCTGTGAAAATCCCACTCAATCTCTAAGGCCTGCTTTAACCCTTGCAGTAAAGCTTTACACCCATCCAGTCACGTGGTCAATTAGGACAAACAAGTAACTCAGTAAAATCTACCTGTATACTTTGGAAAGGTCAAACCCCTGGCTCCCATCCCCCTCTAGATGGGTTACAGAAGACCTTTTTATTTACCTTTTGACATATAGTACATCCTCTGCATATGTGCTTCGCTAAAGTATGTATTCCTATACAGACATACTTTCTTAGCACAACATCACACGTTGCTTGCACCTCCCAATGACTCTTTTGATATAAAACAGTTAATATTTGCCTCATTATCCCTTTATTCAGCATTTCTCTCCCATCAGGGAGTATCCATTTTCCTTCAGACTTCATGGCTCCTGATTCCTTAAAAAAAAATCTTTCTTTTAAAACTTTTTAGTTCTTTCTTAATTTTCAACAATTCCCTGAATCCTCTCTGTATTTATTCTGTTTTCCTTCAGACATTAAATGCCTTAAATACCTGACTTCTCTTTCTCCGTATTGTAATTTATTTTTCAATACTCCCAAGCCCTGCTTTCCCAGAATGTTGAATAGCTTGTTAGTAGCTTTCTTCACAACTCTTTTCTCCTGTCCTGACAATAGAAAATGATCCACATATTTGTTAACATTAATACCTCCTTGGGAGGTTGTAATTGCTCCAAAATCTCTTTTTTTTTTTTTTTTTTTTTTTTTTTAGAATTTACCCAAATAGATAGGTGGCCCTGTAAACCCCTGAGCTAAAATTGTCCACCTATATTGTTGCTTCCGCCCCCATTTCAGGGCCTTTCCAATCAGAGGTGAATATACATGTATGTTTGCTCTCAGGGCCAAAGAGCACTCCATTAATAACACTGATATTCCAGTCTAACAATTTACTATTTGAATGCTCAATTTAATCATCAAATCCCTTCCCAACAAGTTAGTCCCTGCCTTGGGTACATACAATAATTACCCAGTGATCATTTTATCCCCTAGTCTCAGCTTGGTATCCCCCAAAAGTGGCACTGTTATCCCAGCCCCTTCTGCCCCCATCACTTTTTAGGGTTTCATTAGTTAATTTAATCCCTGATACTTTACAAGTCAGTAATGACCTAGCTGTTCCCCAGTGTATTGGGTTTGATGGCAAGGTTCGGGGGGTGTGAGTGGGGGGCGTGGGAAACTGCAGTGGCAGCCCCCGTGAGAAAAACCCAGAAGCGTCCCCGTGGCAGGTAAGGGATAATTTCATCCGGCCCCTAAGGGGCTCACTGCTGCCCAGAGCCAAGCCATGAGCAATACAGTCCCTGCCTCTGTGAGAGCACATCCACGAAAACAAAGAAACAAAGAAACAAACAAAAGCCTGCTGCTCAACAGCAGTTGGGAGAGCGAGAAACCCCTCCACAGACACCAAAGTCAGTGCAGAAGGAGGGGGAGGAGGCGCTTCAGGCGCTGGAGCCGAAGCCCCCCTGCGGCCGCTGGAGAGGCCCCTGGTGGAGCAGGCTGTTCCCCCCTCCCCGATGCTTGGGAAACTGAACAAACACCACAGCAAATATACCAAAACTTCTCGACTGTTACTTAGATAATGCCTACATCACCTTTCCCTGCTCATTCAACTTCAAACAGCTCTGTTAAATACTACATGCCACACCTTTAACACCTTCAGCAACCCTTTTAACACTTCCTTTATCTTTCTCCAGCCCATACTTTTCTAATACCAGCACCAAAGGCTCAGTCAGGGTCCAACTTAATTCCATACCTTTTCCCTCCAAGATACTGAAGCAACATATCAATATAGTATATTTCATGCCATTTTCCTTCTTTCCTCCTTCTTCCACTCCAGATATTCCTATTCGAAGTGGCCAGCCTGGCCACACTTAAAACATCTTATCAAAGCCTGTCTCTGCTAGGACTCAGGCCACAACACAGGCAGCCTTCTTTGCCTGCCATTCCTTCATCTCTCTTTCTCTCCTTTCCATCCTGGCCCTGACTCCCCCTGAAGATTTTTTCCTCTTTCTCTAACCCTCTGCTTCACTACCCGCTGCACTGTCAATACCATTAGTTTCACTTTTTTTTTTTTTTTTTCCCTTCTTATCTCCCCTCCAGACACACGCCTCCAGGGCCTCCCGCAGGAGGGTCCCCCAGTGACTGTTCACTACATCCCCCCACCTTCTGAAGCATTTTCTGCGTATTCTGCCAGGCTTTAATCACACAATGAACTTTCAAGAGCCCTTGGGATACTGGGTCCTCAGGTCTCATCCCCAAGTACTTTCTCATTCTGACCCCAAGTCTCTCATATGATTTCTGTGTTGCACACTATTATTATTCCAGCCAGGATTGGCAAGTGGGTATTTCTGCCCTGCCGGTATTACCCCTGGTCCTGGAGGATGAGCTCTTTCCCATTCTTGTATAGCAGCTCTCCTCCTGATCATTCCCATTTCTTTCCCTGTAAACAACATACTTACAGACATAATTCCCTCCCCCAAGAGTATAAGTCAGGTCGTAGGAACTGGTCTAATTGTTCAACTAGGCTGTTGGGGTCCTCAAATAAAGACTTCCTCTCCTTCTTAAAAGTTCTAACCTCTCTGCTGGTAAGGAGGGGGGGGGGTAGTTCACCTAAGAGGATACACAGTTATTGTTAGTACTGTTAGTATCAGGGAAGGCAAAATTCTCAATATCTCTTCTACCTTGTTCTAATTCTTGCCAGAGCCTAGAGTACGATCCTTCTTTAGGGACAGTGTTAATTACAGTCCCTGTCTCCCTTCCTGGAGTGACTGCTGCTGCCACCAGTTCAATATTAAGATTATAGGGAGCATAACTTGGCTCCTTCTCTAAAAAAAAGGAATCTTCTTGTTTACACATAAATTTATAGCCTGAATTTTCATCAGACCCGTATTTTGGCCAAAATACTGCTGTTTCCTTAATTGGTTCTTTTGTCCAGACTGATACACAGTATTTAACCTTTTTAAAATTATTTTTCTTTTACAATCCCTCTAATTTTTGGGATTATGTTTCCAATTTCTTATCATTCTTCAGGAAGAACTATTAGTAGGCACTCCCCCAGGGATATCTCCCTGTCCCCTGGAACTCATATTTTCCCATTTTTCCTAACCCTCGCCAGTATGAGCTACAGAAATTTCCCTTCTGCAGTGTACCACACACCAACGTACTGAAAAATGGGGGTGTACCGCCGAGCACTTCCCCGTGCCAGCGTTACCACACACCTATGAGTTTACCAGATTCCCTGGAACTCGTGCTTCCCATCTTTCCTAACCCTCGCCAGTATGTGCTACAGAATTTTCCCTTCTGCAGTGTACCACACACCAACGTACTGAAAGATGGGGGTGTACCGCCAAGCACTTCCCCGTGCCAGCGTTACCGCACACCTGAGTTTACCAGATTCCCTGATGTACTTCCAAGCACTTCCCTGTGCAAGGATTACCGTACACCAGATTCCCCTGGTGTAGTGCCAGCACTTCCCCGTGCAAGGGCTTACCATACACCAGATACCCGACCCCCAAGGCAATACTTAATATTTCTTACCTTGGTCTGTGCACAGAGTTACCGGATCGATTCTTAAAAACCCGGAGTGCCTACCTTCTTCCTTTCCCCACTACTTCACGGATCCTGCCTCTTTAACCAGTCTCGGGCCCTCTGTCAGCTTTCCGCAGAACCGCCACCGTCGATGCACAGGACCGCTGAAATCAGCGGGGCATGCCTTCCTGCTGCTGCGGCGGTGGGGCTCCCCAGTAGTTGACTGGATCCCGGACGAGCCCCCAAATTGTGAGAAACACTCCGTAGCCAATAACTTAGGCTCAGGCGAGGATCTCAATGGAGTAGTAATTTATTCGCGATTGCAATTGTGGGCGCCCCACAAGCAGGAGAGAGCGCATCTACTAGTTCCAAAACACAGTTTATATACCTTTTGATGGCAGGACCCTCCCCTGTTTCCCCACTGAGTGGGTAATCCAGGTTCACAATCTATCTGATGCTTCACAAACAATGCATGGCCTTCAGTTGCCGGCCTGTTAAATTTCAAATTTCTTTTGACATTTTTACTGCTTGAAGTGGTAATGTTTCTTCACTTATCTGACTTGACTTGACACTGTGATTTTCACCTAATTGTCCTAAGGAGTCTGGTTGTCTGCATTTCACTAGGTCGCCTGCTAAACTTTCTTATCACTGTAAGCATATCTCAGTACCACATTCCCTCCTTCTAAACAATGTAACTCTGCAAAAACAACATTTCTATTCTCACACTTGAGAGTGTAAGGGACTTTTTTTTTTTTTTTTTTTTTTTTGAGACTTCTATTTAGTTTGCAGCTGGTGATTGAAGTGATCCATGTCAACTCTCCCACTTCAAAACAAAGTTAAAAATGTAGTCTTGGTTAGAAGAAAAACAGTCTGTGCTCTATGCTTTTTTCTTTTTTTTCTTTTTTTTTTTTTCCATAAACAGCACCCAGTAAACGTATGACAGTGATTTCTGTTGTTACTGTGTTTAAGGAGAGACTTGAGCTATGCATCCATTCATTAAAAATGAATTGGTTGGGGAGCATGGAAAATCCTTGTAACTAGAGTTGTTTTGGTTTGTAGCAGTTCAGTTGACAAATGTGGGCTGTCAGTCTGAACCTAGGACGTTCTTTTCCTTGTTTTTTTAACATTGATTTACTTCTTCTATCTTTCTGAAGTTAAAGTGCTCTCTAGGTGCCACTTCTCTTCCCCTTTGACTGTCCTGTTTTTTTTTTTCTCTCCTTATGTTATCCATTTCACATCTTTACACTGTTCTTTGCTAACAGGTTGATCTTGCTGTAGGATAATGGCAGGAAAAGTAAAGTGGGTAACTGATATAGAAAAATCTGTGTTAATAAACAACTTTGAAAAAAGAGGCTGGATTCAGGTGGCAGAAAATGAAGACTGGAATTTTTATTGGTAAGTACATTAAAATAGCAATTTCTAAATTTGTGAAGTATTTTAATATCTTCTGTTAATACCATTAGTAATATAACAAAATGCATATTTAAAAATCAGAGATGCACACATTAACTTACTGAAGTGTTTCTAAGTGCATAACATTGTTTCATTACTCCTGTAATTTCTTATGCTATTGCTGATCTGTTGTTGAGATTTGTATTAGTAGATTTCTCCTCTGGCTGTGTAGGCCTGCTAAAGTCATTAGGTCTCCTTGAGACAGGAGGTCCTATCCGCATGGATCCTTTCCCATGCTAATGACCTTGTATGTCTTTCCAGTTTCCCAAAGGTTTTGTCAGGCATTGGAAAGTCACTAACCTAGCAAGATGACAATCGCTTCTGAGGACGCCATTTGTAAAAACACCCGGGCAAAGGCTGTAGCCAACGTGTGTGTTTGTTTGTTTCGTTTTGAAATGTGGTATCTGATTTTATTCATATTTCTTGTATATAGTAAGCTGTAGTATACATACAGTAAGCTGTATGTAGCTATAGTAAGTTTTCCTGTACTGTAGGAGGGCTTTTGTGGTCCAATTGGAATTTTTGAGTGTATCTTTACCTAAATTTTCTGACAACCTGATGTAAGCAAAATGATCAAAAAGTACGTGGTTCCAATATATGATACAATATTCTTTTATCAGTGTAGCAGAAGTTTGCTCTGTTACCAGAGTGCAAGCTCTTGTAATAAAAGCCTTGAGAACTGCACTTGACTTCTCCTCATAGTAAAAAGTTTATGCAAACTAATTTTTCAACATTTCAGTGCTGAAAGGTGAATATTAAATTAGACAAACTCCATTACCTTGATTTAATACAAGACTGCAGTGCTGTGCTAGGATACAGTAATTTATTAAATGGCAGAAACAGTACCTCTTCAGGTAAGCCAAGCCATTTGTATTGTCCCTTTCCAGTATGACAGAACGGCACTTTATACTGCTGAATGTACCTTTTGTTAACCACTTATTTAAATGAGTAGGAATGTAGTAATCTGCTTGTGCTTTTGGAATGCAGCTGGAGGGAGGAGTAGGGGAACAGGACACTCATGCAAACTGTTGTGTTACTTGTTTTGTTTTGTTTTCTTCCTGAAATGATAACATAGCAGATTGATAGCATTCAGGAAATAATCTTAAATTTCCAGTGTGACACCTTTAGTACAAAAAAAAAAAAAAATCTTTGTATTTGTGGCTCTGCTCATATCTTTAGTGAAAAATGAAGTAGATAACTGATTTGATGACTTGGTCACCACAGCTCTCTGCTGTGGCATTTATGTATGCTTTTAGCAAGATGTTCATGTACTTGAAGTACTTTGGAATTCAGATAGCAAGGTAGTCAGTATGAGGTTATATTTTTTTAAGAGGAAACCTGAGCTTCCGGAGAGCAAACCAGTAGGTTTAGAAAGATGCCTCTGTAGTATTTAGGTGCATGTCAGTCATTTGTAGGCCCTGCTGGGATTTGACCTGTCTGTCATCTACAAGCCAGAGTCCACTAGGGCCAAGCTGTCATCTTACTTGCCTCACAGTCTGCCTAAATTTGAGTCTCAGAGGGACTGAGACAACCTCTGGCAGGATTTCATTTGGTCTTGCTAACAGGGGTTCAGAGTATGTTGTATTGTCACTGCAGCACTATATAGAGCAATGTAAGAGAAGTGTGAAAGAGGGAGAAAACAGTGAGAGGGAAAAGATGAAGTAAAGGTAACACTATTACAACTTTGTCCTCTTGGGTTGTGTTTCTTGAGAAAAGTAATTTGATATCTGTTTTTGCCTTCAGGATGAGTGTACAAACAATCAGAAATGTTTTTAGTGTGGAAACCGGTTACCGCCTTTCTGATGACCAAATTGTCAATCATTTCCCCAACCACTATGAGCTGACCAGAAAGGATTTGATGGTAAAAAATATCAAGCGATATAGGAGAGAACTTGAGAAAGAAGGAAGTCCTCTTGCAGAAAAGGATGAAAATGGAAAATATATTTATTTGGGTATGTGGTTCTTATCAGCTTTAATCTTGTTTTCTGTGTGGTCAATGACCCGTTGGCATTGTAACTTGAAACAGTAACAGAACAGCACATTAATGTACAAATTATTCCAATTTACACATTGCTAGTTTTGTGCAATGAATTCAGTAAGAAAAACTGCTGCTTGCAAGAAGTATGTGCAACCAAAGCTGCCTGTTTTTTCCAGGTTGCTTTTGGAGACCTAAAATTGATGTGTTTTGGACACCTAAAATTGATGTGTTTGAATCATCGCATAAATCTAGTTGCAGCCCAGCTTGATTTTCTGAATTTCTGAAGTGTTCCAATGCTGAAATGACTATCAGCAGATGCTCTGTCACTAACAGGCAGTTAAATAGAAAAAGTGTACTCTATCCTAAAGTTACTCTGTTCTGCAAACATAACAGCGTTCTTTCGCTGTCTTTTCTTCCTTTTCCCTCCCCACAAACCTGCCATTAGAAGAGCATAAGGAAACACAAGAGTAGCGAAACTGATTAAGAACAGTAGTTGCAAACATTTAATATGAAATTCTGTATTTTCAAAGCTTTTCACAAATCTTGTTTTGAAGGATAAGGGCTAGTATTTCACAAATTGAGAGAAATAGAGGTCATGCAACTTATTAAGAACTTTGCTGAAATTAGACACAAGGCTGGACTAAAAGATCGAACGTTTTTGTTTCTGTCACACTGGGTGTTTCCTCCACTGTGTTCTTACTAGTACATAGTACTGTTCAGGGAAGAGAACAAATCCAGTTACTATGTGTGGAAGTTGTATTTAGGCTTGCTTTGGTAAGTAGTAGGGTTCTTAATGAAGACTGAATTTACTAGTGCAGCATTAGCTGAAGCAACATGGGCTGAAGGGAAATGATCATGAAATGATTATTTATAAACATAAGGAATAATCATGAAATTATTGTTCCTAAACGTAAGGATATACAGAAGTATATATATTTGTATATGTATACATGTCTACACATATACATATATTTACATATGTATGTATAACTGTTTTAAAGAGGGAAGTATTGTGGCATTAAGGTATTTTGCTATGAGATCAGTGGTGGAACTGAAGGGCCCTAAAACTTCATATCAGAAAGGGCTGGAGTTTCTTTAAATCAAAAGTGAAAAAACATTATCTGGAAATCCTATACTGGAGCAAAAACTAAAATAATCTTTTGTAGAAAGGTTCCAGACAGAATTGAATGGATAAACTCTTCAGAGGAGAAATTCAGGGGAAGTTGGAGAACTGGTAATGACTACTAGAAAATTAAATTTAAAAACAAATAAGAACAAACAAAAACAAAAAAATCCACCACCATCCCTCCCCCCACCCCCCGAAAAATAAACAAACAAACAAAACCACAACCAACCAAAGGAAAAAAGCCACTACCCCCTCAAAACAAACAAACAAAAAAAGTAGGAGTAAGTTGGGAGTAAGGATAGCGAAGTTATTTCAGAGGTCAGAAAGCATTGGAGTGAAATAGAGATGGAGACATTGAATTGATTTACATCTGGGGCAAGTGGAAAAAAAAAAAGCACTGTTCATCTGTGTAAGAAAGAAGCATTGCTGTATGGATGAAACAGAATAATCTGATAGCGAAAAGCAAGAAATATTTTTCTTTAGATTTCAGTGAGCATGGTAGTACTGGGTATGGGAGCAAAGAATTACCAACTGAAGTTGCACAGAAGCCAAAAATGCCACATCCAAAGAGGAAATATTTGGATTTTTGCATATACAGATTTGAAGAATGATAAAAGCTAGAATATGAAATCGAGAAATTTTGCTAATAAAAGTTAAGTTGGAATGGTGTCTAATACTCTAATTGCACATCATTTAAACAGAAGAAAAATAATCCATATGAATTGAAGTCTGCTAATCTGAAATTAGCAGCAGGCAATGTTTAGCAATTCTTTAAGTAAAAACTATGAATTAAATGAGATTAAAAAGCAACATGAGTTTTACTGAAGGTGGATCATGCTGGACTGGAAAAATTGAGAACCAAGAAATTATTTTTTACCCTATATTCATTCTTCTTAGATACAGCGTCCTTAATCATGAACCTTTTTTTTTTTTCTCTTAACTCAGATTTTGTTCCTGTTACTTTTATGCTTCCTGCCGATTATAATCTCTTTGTTGAAGAATTCAGAAAAAATCCCTCAAGCACTTGGATTATGAAACCTTGTGGTAAAGCTCAAGGAAAAGGAATATTTCTAATCAATAAACTCTCTCAAATTAAAAAATGGTCTCGAGATAGCAAAACATCTTCGTAAGTGCTTAAAAACTAAACCCTATGTTGTACTTTATATAATCAGGTGAACCACATGAACATGCTAGTTGTCCAATGCACAGGGAAAAGTATTTCATTACTATTGCTTTGTCATTATATAGTTTTGCATTTTGTCTCAGTTATCTGGCTTCCTCCTTCAAACAAGTCTTAGTAAGATTTATTTTGGTGTGAGGAGGTATAACAACTGTTTGAATAACTATTCCCTATAAAAAATGCTGTTAGTGTTGGATGAATAACATGCAAAACCAAATTGTTCTGCCCTGTAGTGTTAAATAACAGGAAGTGAGGAAAAAAGTCTTTCCCTGAGCAGTTTGTATTTAATATGTATCAATTCACTTCTTAAACTAGTACAAAGGAGAAATGTGCTTTTAGGAAATAAAGATGTGATCTATTTGGAGCACAAAGTAATACGCCTTACATTTGTGACCTGATTTCCAAATGGATCTAACAGTTTAGCAATCTGTGTTTTCCTCTGACTAATAAAAGTTTTGATCGCACAACTAATTCTATTTTTTTTTTTTTTTGGTTATAAATTGACTGGCTAAACCTTCTTTGAGTATTATTTTCTATTTACCTTGAAATCTGAAGAATGTCACAGTTTGAAAGCTAGCTTTGCAATTGCAAGCCCTGCATAAATACAAACATTCTAGGAATACAAGGCTTTGACTAACAAAGGTAATGTAATATGCACTCTTTGCTTTTCTGAACTCTGACTAGCTGTAAATGCTCTCAAAGGAAAAGGAAGGTTTGTAGAACTGCATTCTGAGTGGCTCAGTTCACTACTCTGTTAACTTCAAAACTGAATTTAAATGGAAATCTCAGTCATGTGTTTTGTATTTACTTTTTTTTTCTTTGTTACGTAATGATGGATGCCAAGCATGTTTTATTGAATAGTATAACTTAAAACACTGCATTGCCAATAAGATACAAGATTTCAGTCAGTTCAAAATTACAGGCTGCTTCTAAAGAAGAAAAAGATCTATCATGTTATAACATTACAGTTGTCACATTCTGAAACCTTACTGATGTCTTACAGGTTTGTATCTCAGTCTTCCAAAGAAGCTTATGTGATTTCTCTATATATCAACAATCCATTACTAATTGGAGGAAAGAAATTTGACCTTCGTCTGTATGTTTTAGTATCTACATATCGCCCTCTGAGATGTTACATGTAAGATTGTATATGTTTGTGTTTTGATGTTTAATGTAGTCAAAATAATGTTGCTGTTGTTGCACAAAGAAGTTTAACATGTACATGTTGTCCTGGGATGATCTTTTCCTTACTTCCTACTGGGGTTTAACACACTTTAATGACTTTTTGCATTTAAGGTATAAACTTGGATTTTGCCGGTTTTGCACAGTAAAATATACACCAAGTACAAGTGAATTGGATAACATGTTTGTACATCTTACAAATGTTGCCATTCAGAAACATGGGGTAAGTGTACTGAGTTTGTAGATGTTTTTTCATAGGAAGACTGGTTTCTTGAATTGTCCCAAAAGTTTGGAATAAAAAGGCTTTTAGTGATTTTCTCATTAGCTTCCAATTAAATTACTTACTTGATCTTTAAATAAATAAAATTTAAAAGACTGTAGATAAAATATATGCAAGGTAATGAGTTGTAATCTCTGTAATAGACTGTGGTATCTTCAGTGTTGACCTGCAGTAGTTGAAAGCAATTTCTTTCCAAGTCTCCTGTCATTTAAATGCTAATATGTTCACTTAGCAATTCAGGCTATGAGCAGTGGAATTAATGAAGCCTGGTTCCTGTGGGTTTGTATTTTATAATGGCACTTGAATATCTCCTTCCTGATCTCCTTTTCCCTCTTTCTCACCCACCCAGTTAATTCAGCTTTCCTGTTTTCAGCGCTTATTTACCACAGTGCCTTCCACCTTCTTCCTACGAGTTGTCACCTCATGTATTGTCTGTGTTCCCCCCTGCCTTCTTTGGTGAAAAAGGGAACATGCAGTTGTGTGTTTAGTGATAAATGTTTGCTGCCTGGACAGCTGGTGGCTTCATCTTCAATGCACAACGATGGAGTTCTGCCTGAAGAACAGTTCCGTCCTGTAATTTGCCATTGATGCTCATAAAATATGTGGAAGCCTGATAGCTTTGACAGCATTTCGCTCTGTCAAAATAGGCTGAAATTCACCAGTGAAAGGAAAGGCTAGTGGGTTAGGGGTGACACAAACAGGTGGACATGCAGTATCATTGCCTAAACCTTGTTCCTTCAGGGAATTCACTTGATAATGGCTGTCCCTTCTGCATTTTTAGCAGATGTCTGATTTATAAAACATGCCTCTGTAGCAGGGATTAAAACTCCATTGTTTTACTTCCCAATTTTGTGGGGTTTATTTTTTAAGAGCATTGAAAATATGTACATATATGTATATGCACACTCATGCACAAGAAAAATGTGCCTTGACTCTTACTGCTTTGTAAGTTATAGCAGAACTGTTAACAGTTATAGCTATAACCTACATATAACTATAACATAACTCTTATAGCAGCATAACAGATCTGTTTTTATCTGTTTTTAATTGTAAATATCACCTATGGTGGTAATTATTAGCTAGAGTAAGTGTCAAAATGCAACACTTTTAGTACTGCAAATATTTTCTTGCTCAGATGCTGATTTGTGAAGGGCTTCAGAGATCTTATGATCTGACAGCGCACACTGAGTTGCAGTAAAAGCAGTTCCCATAAAATATAAGAGCGTAAGTCATAGTGCTGTTGCCAGTAACAGAGAAGAGATGAGGCATGGGATATGCTGCCTATCCCATTATCGTGCACCCTTTCATCTTCTACACCAACTAAAGTATTTCTCCAAAGAACTTCAGTATTTCTCCCAAATAGAAGTAGAAGTGAAAATAAGTAGTGAGGTTATCTTGAAAGAAGAAAGACAGCAGAAATGGGTATAGAAGTATCAGCATAAAAATGTGGAGTCATTACTGGATCATTTGAAATATTTATTTTTTTTAGAAATGTTGAACCATTAATACTTGTTGAGTCTTCCAGAAAGAAGTGAGAAAAGTTTAGCCATTGTCTGTCCCATCTTTCCTTCTGTTTTAAAAATGTCTGCAACTTCAGAGGCAAATAAGCCCTACAATTTTAGAAGAACCACCTAATTTGAACTGTCAAGTGATTTATCAACATTATGATGAGGTCTGGAAAAGCTCTTAGTTTCTAGTTTTTCATCTCTACTCTAAACCCCACATGAACCCTGGAGTTCTACTTTATTTGTATCCTACAAGCTCATGGGAAAACATCACTAAATTTAAGAGCTTATAATTCAATATCAGGGAGAGAGAAAAAGTAATGTAAAGGGAAGGAGGGTAATTAAGTATACACATTGTAATATTGTGCTAGAAAATATAATTCTAAATCATTATTCACTGCATGTGTAATGCAAAAAAAACCACAACAGTAATTCTTCTATTTAATTTTCTGTTAGCAATCGTCCATGTAGCCTGTGATATTCTGCTTTGTTATGATATTTTTCATTAAATAGTTGTGGCTGTGCAAAGCTCTGTACAGTTGCAATCTATTTTCTGACCCAAACCATTCAATGCTTCTATTTTGATTTTAGTACTTATTCTGAAATGCAAAGTGGGTTGAAACTTTGATTTTTGTCCCCTTTCTGGATTCTGGTCGTAAGACATTTCATTTTTTCCATGCAAGTCCTGAGAACCATGTTCCCAATCTTTATTTGTATAGTCTTTCAAATTTACTGTGGGGGAAGCTGTAGAGGAGAGAAGGGAAGAAAATACAAACAAACAAACAAAAAAAAACAAACAAAAAAATGGATGAAACACTAAGAATAGAGAGAGGTTTCTCTGACCTTGTTTTACAAGATGGAAGGTTTCATTCCTATGAGAACTTTTTTCTACTCCAGGCATTCAGTGTTTTATAATTTAGCAGGCATATAATAATTCTTATAAACACTCAGAGGAAAATCTTTAAAAAGGGATAAAGACCTTGTCCTGAGAACTATTTGAGGACTGAATATGTCTTTCCATCAGTAAGAACACCATCAGTTTGCTTTGGTCCTTCTGTTTAGCAAAAATATTTTGTAGGACATTGCTAGCCTCTGAAAAGACAGACATAGCAACCTCCTTTTTTCCCTTGTTCTGTTTCAGCAGCACTTAATGTGTTTTCTATAGCAAAGTACTGAATTACCTGAAAAATTGTTCAGTCCTCTTTTGTCACACTTCAAAACTCAGATTTCCCAGTCGAAACTTAGATTTTGCTATTCAACTGTTTGAGTACTTTTTTTCTTTTAAGTCCATCTTTATTACTTGATTTGTGAAGTGTGATATAAACATATGGCCATAATAAAAATGGTTCTTTATGTAGAGGGCAGTTTAAAGATGAAGTCTGCATAAAGCTGTAAAATAGAGTAAAAGCAGTTTGAGTTTGTTTTTAAAACAAAAACTTTTGTTTTAAAACAAAAACTTATACATTTTAAAACAAAATCTTATACATTTGTATGCAAGTATAAGTGGGCTTTTTGTGTGGATGAAACAAAACTGCTGAACAACTTCAAAATCTTAGACAAAATTAACTGTGCAACTCTTCAGGATGATTACAATCATATCCATGGAGGCAAGTGGACAGTGAGTAACTTACGCCTGTATCTAGAAAGCACCCGTGGAAAGGAAGTGACGAACAAATTATTTGATGAAATTCACTGGATAATTGTGCAGTCCCTGAAAGCTGTTGCGGTGAGTACTGTTCTGGGAATGCTGCTAGTGTAGACTTTTCATAACCATGCAAGTGAGCTTGTCACCAAAAAATCCCTGAAATCTGTTTCTTGCTATTTGAGTGACAGTGTTGATGCTGATTCCTGCAATTCTGTGATTTGTTGATTTGTTTGAGCTGGGTGAACTTGAATCTTGGGTGGGTGGGTGAGCTGTATGTGTGTATTGAAGAGCTGAATGAATCTCTCTCCTTCAGGTCTCTCTGAACTATCTATTATGACTTGATACTGCCCTTGTGAATAGTATTAAGCTCTGCCAAGGCTCGTGATGTCATTTCAGCAATAACAAATGTGTCAAAGAAAAAATAGCTGTGGAAGACAATTTATCAATCAAAATGTAAGGATATTAGTTTAGCAGACTTAACGTAACTTTCTTTCAGATCTTCTATATACTAGTCACATAGTTATCATGAACTGTTATACTCTTTCTTTTTTTGTTTTAAGTATAACAGTCCTCTGCTTGAGTGACCTTTCAGTGTTTGGGTAATATTCCATGATTACATTAGAGAGCAGGTACTGCTCTATGGGTCAGCTGGGGTAGGTAACTGAAGAGCTTATTGCTGCCAAAAAAGGCTGTCCTGTTCTCAGGTGCATGGTCTCGTCATCTTTTTTGGGCTGGTCCTGGCAACATTGTGAGTTGAATCATCTCACTTGTCCAACTGAAAAATTACTATTTTATTGGTGGGTTAGTATTCTGCCAGTGTTATAAGCTGATGAATGACCTCACTGAAGGATCAGAATCAGCAAAAGAAAGAGGGACAAGGTCATGAAGCTAGAATCGTTGGGAAGTGTGGCTCACCTCACAATCATATTTGAAAACAGATGTGAGAAGAAGAGACATTTAATCTAAATGTTTGCAGAACTTTAGGAGAAGAAAAGTGTTTAGAATATAGGGGATGAAATGTTTTGGTCAGCTTCAGTACTTCTTTGTATCTGAGAATGACAAATGTAATGAGATGCTCTATCCTCTTACCCCTCTTTCATTCTCTAATAATGAAAGCTTTGAATTTCTTCAATGTAGGGGAGGAAATCATGTCTCTAACCTGTTACAAGGTTTCTTTAAAAGATCTGATGAGACTTGTATAAAAGTCTAGGCGTGCATACTGAAAATCCTTTGCAGATGCTGGAAAATTGAGCGGAGGATGTGTATCTATGTACGACATGATCCTTTGTCTCTCTTAGCTTTCAAGATCATAGATGGCTTGAGCTAATAATAGTTTTTTAAAATATCTGGTAATTGTTTGACCTCAACTTTCTGCAGTAAAAGAAATGTCTTTGAATAAGTCTTCCATCTCTGAAGTTTAAAGAATTTATGCGAAGCTGTGTTATGTAAACTTGAAGACTTCCCAATTTCTCCAGATGCATTCAAGTTTTAGATATTCTTACTACTTTTGAAAAATGGGAGAACACTTATTTTAAAGCTGGAAGCATGATGGAAAACTAATGTAACTTAGTCCTTGGCATTAATGCAATCATTAATATTGAAATGTGTATAGTTGTGTGTGGGGAGAATCCTGAACTTATTAGTAAGCTTATGGTAGAGTTATTTTAGCTTGTGTTGTGGAAGATTTGTAATCCAGTCATGTCACTTATAGCAAATCAAGTGTATAATCAGGTTACTTACAAATTTGTTGTTCTTAATACATTTTTGTCTTTTTTTTAGCCTGTAATGAATAATGATAAACACTGCTTTGAATGCTATGGATATGACATAATCATTGATGACAAGCTTAAACCATGGCTAATTGAGGTAAAATGACACAAAATATGGAAATAACTTCTTACTAATTTTATTTCACAAAGTAAAAGACTACAGAGAAATCTACTTGTTTTTCTCTTTTTAAGCTTTGTCTTTCTGTTCTTCAGGTAAGCAGATTTGGCAAAATGTCAGAAAGAAAAATAGACCATGTGATGACCAACCTAGTGTGTGCTTCTTTTTCAGTTTGTTTTTTTTGTGTGTTTGTGGCTTTCTATTTTGTCTTCTAACTCCGGAGCATCCACACAATTAGACTTCAGAGGCAGTCTGAATATTAGCAGCCCTATTAGTTAATGTATCAGTAGCTGGAAAATTGACATTGGCCTGATGCAGCATAACATTGAGGTTACTAAGTCTTGAGCGCTGTCATGTCATTAATGTTGCAGGTTAGGAGTAAAGAAAGGGGAGGCATATATAGGATAACGGATGTTTGGAAAGCTTCTTTTTCACATAAATTTCTCTTTAGTGTATTAACTTTCGATCTGTGTGTTCAACAAAAATTTTATCTAGGCCTCTTCCTTCTAAATCCTACTGAAAGTGAAAGAGCAAAGCTGTTTATTGTTCTGATACCACTTCTTTGTAATAAATGTGTAACACAAGAGATATGTTAAAATTAACAAATTAACACCACTTTTAGCTTTAGCTAAAAAAAAAAATAAATCCAATTTAGTGCTCTGAATAGAGAGGGAGCATATGTGTTTCTCCAGCTCACAATTTAACAGGGGAGAACTTGGATTAAGAACATAAATAAAAGCTGTTTAACTAGAATAAGCCTACGGATTCCTATATGTAGCAAATGTTGGAGTGAACCGGGCACTGAAATTTATGGTTTTGGTATCCATGGAAGCTTAGAAAACTGAACAAAATTCTGTCTTGTCTGAACCCTGGTCAATTTAGTCTCAAGAAAAATTTTCAAGGCCTTCTGATGCTGCAGACACAATGTTTTTTGTTTTTTGTTTTTAAAGTTAAAAAAAAAAAAAAAAAAGCCCAGCGGGGGATTCCATTCAACATCTGAGGAACTGAAAGACGTGCTTAGAGACGCTGATTCTTAATTTCACAAATAGTATGTGTAGTCATCACATGTGCTATATATAGAACTGTACTACTCAAAAAATTGATGCTGCCTTTTTTTTTTTTTGTAGGTTAATGCTTCCCCTTCTCTTACTTCCAGTACAGCTAATGATCGCATCTTGAAGTATAATCTTATTAATGACACACTTAACATTGCTGTGCCAAATGGGGAAATTCCAGACTGTAAATGGAATAAATCTCCACCAAAAGAGGTTCTTGGCAATTATGAAGTCTTGTAAGTTTTATCAGTGTTCCGTATAAATGCAAATGTTTTTCAGTTGCTCCACTTTTTTTAATGTGCAATGTAGACCACAGAGATAAAGTAAACTTATTCATTCATATGGGAAAAATGGACACAAAGATAACACTTCATTTTTTAGGGCTGCATTAGCAGCTTTGGAGGTAGGAGTACTTCCTTTATCTCCAGAGGGAACTTTAGTTGTGTAATCAACTGCTGGGTGTAGCGAGATTCCAGCAGCTGAATTTGAGGGATATAAGCATAGAGAGTGTTTGTCTTCTAGTATGTAGAGTTTAATTTTCTTGAGTAAATAGATAAAATTTGTATCAAATAGCTATTACCTCTCAGTTCATAGAAATGCTGCCACTTAATTGTTGTAATTCATGGATGTAATAGTAACAATGCATTGCCAGGTATTTAAAAAATTCCCCAATCTGTATTACAAAGAGAGAAATCAAGGAGATGGACATCTTTATGTTGGAGTGTCTGAAGGGTTTGTCTAGGATGCAGAGGAACACTTAAATACCATGTTGATGACAATTTCTCATGTTTATTGAAAGAATGTTCAGATGGTTTCTCAAGCCTATTTGTATTACAACTGTTTAGGATGTCAGGAATGTGGTATATACATAGTTGATCTAATAGATCATGCCAGTCTTACACACTTATGTTGGTAAAATCAGTTATATATGTAAGTGTCAGTTGAATTATGATTTAAATTTCAATTAATGTTTTATATGTGGTAGCTACAAATACCTATACAACAGTGTAACTAAGCATATATTATGTCTGTTCTACAACTGTTCTACAGAATATTATAGTATTATCTTTTGATAATTACACATCCATAGCCAATTCCTGCTTAAAATTTCCATAGCAATTGAGAGGTAAGTGTATACTGAGGTTATCTGAGACTATAATGGGGTTAGATATTTAAAGAACTACTTGTCACTGTGATTAAGTGTTACAAAATACATGTCATCAAATGCATTTAATTTAAACAGTTTGTTCAGCTCATTCTTTCCCTACTTGCTCACTGATGCAACATTGGAGTTTTTTGAAATTGCAGTTAGCAACCCTCTGTTTGAAGCAATAACTTGAGACTTTATTAAACGACCAGCAGTCAGATGTTGTTGCTCAACCACAGGTCTACAAAGAGCAATATTGAGGAGAAATACAGAAGAACGTTTCACACTTGTGAAATTTCACAAACTCAAGAGTTTAACTAAAGCTGTCAAACAATTTGTTGCTTACAAAAAGTAGCTGAAGATGTTTTGGTTGATCTGTATTGTAAAATCATGTGGTGGTAAATTTCCTTGAATAATAGCTGTATCTCAAACTATGTGCATGTAGACATGCATAGAACAGCTTGTATTAAATGCCAGTGCCAAATATTAAGCAAAACAATATGGAAGACTTGCTGTTGTTTGTGCAGTGAATAGCGGGACAAGGTACTGAACAGATTGTCTTACTTTTAGATATGATGAAGAGATGGCGCAAAGTGATGGTCCTGATCGTGACTTCCGAAGTCGTTCTGGGCAATCCACTGGAACAAAAGGAGGTCGTGCAAGAGATTTGGGAAAGCCTGTATTGACCACCTGGAAATAACAATTAAGAAACCCAACCACACTGGTGGTAGGACAACATCGTGTTCATGAACCGATTTCTCTATTTTGCTATGTTGTATGTGGGAGGTATTAAAGGAGGACAATACAGCTTTTGAAAAGAAATGAAATATATTCTAAAACCAGGAACTGTACTATACATGCGCTGACTTGCCAATTATAATAATTATACACATGCACGTGCATATATATATATAATGTATGCATATATATAAAAAACTAATTTCATGCAAGTATATCTGTGCATGTGCTTATAGTAGTTCTCTGAAAGCAAGAAATTTTGAACTTTCAGAAGCGTATATATTCAGACTTTGAAGAACCTAATACACTCTCAGCAATGATTAAAAGGTTTCTTTATAAAGATGACAACTCAAAATATGTGTTCTGAAAGAAGATACTCGTTGCTCTGAATATAATTTATTTTCAATAGTAGCCTATCTCTACATCTCTATAACAAATGAGATACGCATTCTGTGAAAGGTGGTAGTGGTGAGGATAGTTATTGCCAGAATGATGGTTGATGGCTTCTCACTAGTAAAGGAAAAAAAAAGTAATGAGAGAAAATAGTAGTGCATGGAGTAAGTAAAAATAAATAAATAAATAAAGTAAATTTTTATATGCTGAGGGTTTTTGATCGTTCTGTTTTTGTTTTCCCTTAAAATGTTTTGTGCTGATACCTCTTTAAAGGGAAAAGTTTAATGTACAAAGGAAACATTTAATAGGGTAAATTGATGCATTATTTGACTAGCTGTTCACTTTTATTGCAAGATAATGTGTCTTTTTGGAAAATCAGACAGAACAATTACATACTGTAATAAATCTTAGTGCTTGAGACTTGCTATACATCTTTATTTGCACCAGAGTCTCTTCATGTATTTATGCGCGTAAGTAGAATATCTGTATATTTTGTATGTACTATAACAAAAATATTGTTGAACATGATAAGCTATTTCTAGTAGCTCTTGTATAAAAATTTGTGACAACTAACTACCAAAATATATAGAGCAAAAGTTAAAAATAGGTATTTCAGCCCTCAAACGTTGTAGTGTATATAAATAAACTAGTTGAGTCAGTGGCTCTTGCTTTCCACTTGCATTTCCACCAGTTGTTTGGCTGTTATTTATACATATATGGATGTGCAGCTCTGATCATCTCCTCCCCCCTCATGTTTTTTTTTTTTTTTTGATAGTGGAGAATTATGGAGAGAAAGACAAAAGTTGCAAGTATCCATGCAACCATAATACACTCTAATCTGGATACCACTAATGCAGTGATACTCAATTTCTGCCTGCCAGAGCAGGCTAAGTGCTTTTTGCCTTTCTATGTGGCAGGCCACTTAAGTGCATGCAAGTTAAACTTAACCTCTCCAGTAAGTGTATTGTTAATAATTTATCCTGCTGACACAAACATGGATTCAATAATGCAGTGCTCTTTAAAGAGCAAGAAATCAGAGGCTGCAGTTAGTTATGGTGACCCTCTCTTCCTGATCTCACTCCACTTTCTTTTTAAAAACAATGGACTAGTGGTCAGACTGCTTTCTCCTCATTTCCTTTTCCAATAAGCTTTTTGCAGAGGTTGAAGTGTGAAGGCTTAGCTATGTTATCGCTTGTAATGCATACAAAAAATAGCTATACAAAGGGAGTTTTATGGAACAAAAGTGAAATGATATGAAATCCTAGGTGATTGCCTTTCTCCTTATCAGTAACAAGCAAAAACTAACTGTAAGCAAGCAGGAAGTCTTCCTTTTCTATGAAGAACTTGAAGCCTCATATAGATAAGTGAAACGTTCTTGTGAAAATCAAAACTGGGAACCCCCGTTGAAAAATACAATGCTTCTTTACCTGAATTTCCCTAAGGAAAGGGTCGTAGCCTGTGGTAGCTGAAAAAGTTCGTTTTGTGCGTGAAACGACTTGTCTGCAGGCTCTGAAATGGGACAAGGGAGAAGGAAACAAAAGCAGTCTTAGCTAATAGTTCCAAGGGAGGAGGGCAGTACGTGAACATCATTCTGTGAGATGTTTGTTTTTACCTTTCAAGGCCATGTACAGGTGAAAAGCTGGTGAGGAGGAGGAAAGGCTTGAAAGGAAAACTTATTGCATGTTCAGGGATAAAATTTTAAACTTTTCATGCCAGTGTTCCTTAGCTAAATCTGCTGTTGTAGTAGGACATAAATAATGGTACAAAGTGGTGTGTAAACTGATAACAGCCTGGGGCACGCTCCACTATCAGTTGGAGCTTAGGCGATTAGTGAGATGTTTAAACCATTCAGGTCATGTGTTTATACTGTAGGAGTTGAGGGTAATTAAAGGTGTGATGTTAACATGTATGACAGTGTTCAACCTTGTGTGGATGCTCTCATTCAAAGGTAAGGTGGCTCTTTTTGCTGAAGCCTAATTCTCCAAAAGATTAAAGGCTGTTTTACCTCTGATTGAGAGAGCTTAAATGGGCTTAAATCTGAGTGACTGCTAGTAGACAAGCTCATGGATCTGAGTAACTAGCCTTGGCCCTAGGCCAGTCTTCCTCTAAGTGCATCTGACTGTAAGATAAAGAAATTGTTTGGGATTTCATGGGAGCAAAATAAATTAGAAATAGAAGTCCTCAAAAGTTCTGACTTTGGCTAATGTAATAACTTGTCAGGAAGATCTAAAATAAATATGCTTCTCAGTCTTGATCTTCATATGCTCAAGTGATCAGTGGCATAACGACAGTATTGTACGAAGAATTAAATATACAAGCTCTAAACAGCTACAGTTGTTATAATGACATTAGTGTAGAAGAAGCTTATTGCTAGAGTTGAATAGTGGGGCTTGCTTCCTGGGCACTGACCTTTCTCCCTATTAATTCTTTGACATGAAAGGCATTAATAAGATTCCCACAGAATAGCTTCTTTATATGGCTCTAGGAACTTAATTAGAATAGAAGAAACAGTATTATCCCTAAAGCTACTTTGTTGCTGTTGGCTTTACAACAGAACTTCTGCCTAAAATGTCCCCGTCCCCTGGTTCACTTCCTGCTCTGAACTTAGCAAAACAATGGACATTTCACAGAAGAGAGATAGTGCTGCACTTCAGCAGGAGAACATGTCAGGCAGAGCCATTTATCTGTTGAAAAGGAAGGAGCTTTATTCTGTCATTATAAAATAAGGCTGTTTTCAAAGTAGTTACTATTCAGTTTACGTATGTGGAACTATGACCAGAAGGTAACTCACATTTTGTGTCTGCTTTATTAAAATAACTCACTCAATCCTGCAGTTCAGTAGGAGGAACTCTATCACAGCTGGTGGGTGTGTGTTGCAATGTAACATAACACCCCTGTCCTTAGCTAGGTGTTCTAACCTGAAGAACAACAACAAAGAAAGTCTTTATTCCTGGATTCTTTGCAGAAAATAAATGTGTATAGCTAAGAAAAGCTGACTAGTCATAATTTTGCTAAAACATTTGATTATTTAGGGGAAATAGGAACATAAACAAGTATCTTGGAAAGACTAATTGTTTTTATGGAGGAGTAGGAAGTTGTTTGAGCTGGACTTCAATTTTTTTTTTTTGTTTTTAATTTTTAATTTGCTATCAAAGCTAGGCAAGCTTCAAGAAACTTGCCAGAGGTTGAAGCAGTCCATAGCCAGAACGTTCCCAATTGTTTTGATGACATAAAGATATCCTTACCATTGGCAGACAGTTCTCTATGCTCTAATTATTCTAAAATTTTGTACCTATTTAAAAGCATACCGTTCACATCTGAGAGAAAATTGTTGTGTAATAGAGAAGTAAGGACGCTACAAAACACTGATTAATAAAGTTAATTTAAAAAAATAAGGAGATAAAGACTATTTCAAATGAATTTGTATTCTGGAAAAAAAAATCTTTGAAAGCTGGCCAGTTAAATAATTAACTGATGTGAGTGGAATTAAACATTCTGAATTAGCATATGTAATCACTAATGGTAGTGCATTTGTAATCAAAATATTGTTCAGGGTTTAAACTTAGGTTTGCAACGGAATATGTAACACTTAGGATTTTTTTATCTAGAGGTAAGTATTCTGAAGAGAGTGATAAAATGTTACAGCAAGAGCCAAGAACTGGCAACAGAATCTGCACTGAGTGAAGCCAAGATAAAATGTTGGTACTTAAAAGGACACATGAAATTTCTGAGGACAGCAAAGGACACAAGAAGCATGTTTAAAAATAGATTGTGTTAAAAATAAAAATAACCGTGGGATATTTGCCTAAAATGTGGGAAGATTTTTTTTTCCAGAAATTTCTTGTCTTGTCCCTTACAGTCAAAATTAAATGCCCATCAATGGGCTTATATAAACTGTTAGCCTTTCTTCTAAGAAAAAAAGATTGAGATGATCTTTCCAAGGATGTCACATTTTGAGTAAAACTGAAAACACACAGAGAACAACTGAATTTTAATATTTACAAATATATATATATATATATCTCAAAATGCTAAAATCAAGATGAACAATGCCATTTTGAAGTGTGATTCATACCTCTAAGTTATTTATGGCATCATAATAGTGTCGTCATACTGGCGGGTTGCATGACTGGTGGTAGATATAGACAGACCACTAATCTCTTTTAATTCAGTACAAGAAAAATGTAATGCTTGAATAATCATAATTTCAATTTTATAAATAGAAAAAATAGTAGTTTACCAACTACTGAGGTATATTTCTCCAAGCAGTTTTTTTAGTGCATGTAAGTGGTGCATGTGACCTCAAACCTGTATATCTACATACATTAAACTGTATTACCATATGTAATGAAGTCAAACTAAGCAGCAGCATGTGCAGACAAATTCTGCTTTCACATAGAGAGGTAATTTATAGGAAGATCAATAGCATTGATGCAAAATGTAGACTAGGCCAACTTAAATAATGTTGTTTTGTAATTGTTTCAAATTATACACTTGGAAAGGGGGTACATTTTTTTTTTCAATTAAAAATGTTTTAAAATTCTGCTTGTTGTTACTGTCTTACTTGCTTCCAAAAGTGTCTAGGCCATTTTTCATCTAAAAATGTAAGAAGTATAGGAAACTTCATACCTTTCTGTAACTTTCACGTCTTGTACCCAGAAGAGAATATTCAGCTGCTTGGAAGTAATGTTCCCTAAAGTGATGCCTCAAGGAAATATAATAATCAACTATTAAATTAAAATGTTCACGTAGATTGCCTTGTGGTGAATATTATTCAAACAAATTGTTATTTCTCAAGTTGTGCTGAAGTCTGAATTCAGTTCTTAGTACAAAAATGTTGCGTAAATTATTTGCTTCTGTTCATCCTTCATTCCCTAGGAAGGCAGAACCAGTGCAAATCCCATGTGAAGAGAACTCCCAAAACAACTCTATTGATTTTGAGCTGTTACATGAGGCTATGTTTGCTATATTTATATACATGTATATACACTAATGTATAAATAAAACATCTAAGCAGTACAGGGCCCTAGGAACATCCATGTATGCAATCAGTTGATTTTAAGAATAAGGAACTGTTTTTGTCATATTTGGAAGACTTTGTGCAGCCAGACTCAAGTGTCTGAATATACATCTTTTGGACCATTTAATCATTGGCTCCACACTGGTGAGCATGAGCCCTGATTTTCACAGGTGGTAGCATATATTTGATTGGGACTGGATTTGCACAGCAAAGCCATTTTGGGATACAAGGTGGTATTCAATCAACTCTTTGTGGACCACTTTTTTTTTTTTTTTGTCTGTCTATCACCAGTTCCAGGTTGAACTTCTGTCCTCTGACAAAGTAGAATTGCCTTTCATCACACCATGAAATTAGTTCTGCCAGAGAAAGAACTGACATGCTGAATTCCTGTTCTCTTAAATCGTTGAACAAGTTTGAGCATTATTTGACCATACAAATAGCTGAATGTTTTGATATTGAGGTTAAAGAAAGTCTGAAGTGTTCTGGCATTCCAGCTTTGACAGTGCTTTAGGCAAAACAGGAGCTTGAGTTGTGTCCATACAGAAAGAGGGGTATTTATGATTGTGTATATCACTTGTATGCTTCTGCAAAGACAGCTGGTTTATTCAAGGCTTGATATATTTAATGAGAGAGACTGTGGAAAAGCATGCATCTCTGGCCAGAAATGAGAGGAAAATCTGAATGTTGAGATTCCTCACCTTAAACCTAAAATTCTAACTTTTGACATAGAAGAGAGAATAAAAAGCGCTTGGGAAGGGGGGAAATCATGATAAATCTTTGAACGCTTACCCCCAACCAAATTTCCCAGTACTGTTAACTGCAATTAATTCAAATGAAGTTGTTAAGGACGTTTCTTCAGAAGGTAAAATTTACCCCCGTGCTGTGGTCTCCCCGTCCTTCTGGGCTAATCTAACTTCACCGTGAACTTAAAACTCCTTGAGTTAATGAGTCACGCACTTCGTGAAGGAGCACAGGAAGGCTTGACGTCTGTGCTGGCTTACATACGCAGGCTTGCATAAGGAACGTGGCCAAGAGGAAAGTGAGCCGAGGACCGCCTTGTGCAGCCCTTCCCAATGATCCCCAGAGCTGCCCTGGGAGCGGGCCGCCCTCCGGGACAGCACTAGGGCCGGGGCAGGGAGAAGGGCAGAAGGGAGGGAAATCCTACAAGCTGCCGGGGCAGAGCTAAAGGGACGAGCCAAGGTTACCGTGACGGCTGCCACCTGGAACCTGAAACATTCCTTCTATAACAAACACCCCTAAAAGATAGGCAAGGGCTGGAGTACCGACGGTATTTCCGAGGGGCTACAGCCACAACCCCAGCCGCGCGTACCTCACGGCGCAGCCGGCCGTTAGGGCTCCCCCCAGCTCCGTCCAGCCCCAGCTGCCGCCGAGGAAGCGGCGTTAATTGGCAGCCACATCGAGCCAATGGGCGGTGTTGGGGCGGGACCCGTGCATGGACCTCGCCCAATGGCGGGGCGGGGCGGCTGGAGCGCAGGGACCGTGCTCGCTGCCCGCGCCCGTCTCTTTCCGTCCGTCCGTCCGTCCGTCCTCACCTCACCTCACCTCACCTCACCTCACCTCACCGCCTCTGGGTAGCGGGCACCGGGGACGGGCGGCTCCCGGCGCTCCAGGTGAGGGCGGCACCGCCCTGGGCTCAAGCGGACGGGGTTTGGGGTGCGCAGCCCCCAGCGGAGCTGTGCGGGGAGGGGCTGCGAAATGGCGGCCGGAGTGGTGGTGGTGATGGGGGTGATGGGGGTGAGGGGCTAGGCTCCTGCTGTGGGCCCGGGGCGGCGGCGGCGGCGGCGGCGGGGTGAAGGCCGTGCGGGGAAGGTGAAGCTCTCCTTGCTCGGCGCCTGGGGGTGGAAGGGCAGGACGGGATGACGCCACGGGTCGGGCAGACTCCGTGCTGGGGGGGGAGCTGGCTGCTCCGGGAGCGGGGCGAGGAGGGAAGGTCGTTTTTTATTTCCTTCCGGATCTCGGGTTTGAAATCCCCGTGGCCCAGATGATGGCAGGTAAGGATGTCTATTGGGGGGGACGTAAAGTGAGGTTAGAAACTGCTCGCAGCCTCCTGAGTCCCTGTAGCGACCTAGATGGGTCGGGCTTCTCGGTCTTGCTGTTCACGTCTTCTCTCTTGACTTTCCTTTTTCTGGCTTGTGGCAGGAACCTCATCTTCTCCCAGAGCAAAACATCTGCGCGAGAGACAGAAGCCTCTGTATGTACACCGAGGCTACCTGGCCAGAGACAGGCTGGGTACCCACGGTGTCTGTGTGGCACACTGTGTCCATCTTTCCCAGCTGCTTGGCTATCTCTGTTTGGAGTGACTCAGAAGTTCATAGCTGAAGTCTTCTGAGGCTTTGTCTTTTTGCCCTTGCAATAGGGGAAGCCGGGAAGGTTCGGGTGATATTTGCTGTCCTTTCTAAACTCAATGTTTGAAAGTCAAATGTAATCATGTGGTCTTAGTTATTCAGTTTTCTTGGCAGCTGTTCTTTATAAAAAAAAGGTTAGTTACTACAGTTTAAAACAAGTATGTTATTTCTCATGTCCCCTGTACTTGTTTCAGTAAATTTGATCATTTCTCTACAACCCAAACTGGGATTAAAAAAAAAAAAAGAGCTTTAGGATGTGCTGGACTCTCGTTTCCTCTGTTGTACTCTGTATCCTCACAACAGGCTACCTGAATATTTCCTATATGCAGTGAGAGTAATTATGCCTCTTGCTACAGGGGGCACTTTTTCCCCTTCTGCTTATTTGGATTCTAGATTTTTTTCAGCCCTTCTCTGAAGACAGAACACTTTCACTACTTTGAAAAGATAAAAACTATAGTAGTGCATTTTTACAACAGTCATAGTGAAGACTGCATTAAGTAAGTGAGTTTCCGTTCTTAGTGCAACAAAAAGATCATTCTCTTATGTTCATGATGAGACCAATGTAAAAACATTGCTTCATTGTTTTCTGTTGGTGGGGAAAAACAACAACAACAAAAAAACAAACATAAAACCCCTTTTTGCTTAAAGGTGAAAGGTAACTTAAGAAATTTGCTGACTATTTCAGGCAGGTGAAACTTAATTGTATTTTTTAACTATTATGGTTATTAACACCAAGCACTAATGTCTGTTGTTTCATACCTATACCTGTCTGAATTTATTGTCCAACTGCAGTTTACCTTCAAAGATAGTAGGTATATTCTACCAATTATGACTGAATCAGCTTAAACAGTAGTGCATATTAACAGTTGGCGTATGTCTAATTAGTTCAATACAGCATCATTTTGGAGATATCTGCTCATATTGTAGCTCAGGTACAGTAAGCAGGAGAGGAGTGCAGGTGCTACGTTTACATCTGCAGCATTAACCTTAGCATGGCAGTTCAGTTTTCCAGTGCTCCAAACTCCCCTGTTTGGGTAGTTTACAGTTCTAGAGTTAGTTTCTTTGCCTCACAGTCTACATGCTGTGCAGTGCCATGCTAGAATAAACATTAAAACTGCCACTGGGGGTTAAGCTGCATACCACGCAGCACGCAACATCAGAGTTAAAAGGATGATACGTAGCATGGTTGTAGGTAGTGATGAAATAGGTTATTAATGATTGACAGACAAAATTGTTTAGGAATGCTGGTGTGTTTTTTTTTCTAAATGTTTTTTTCCTCCCTTTCAAAAGGGTGTGCTGCAGGGGGATAAAGTTGTTAATGCTGCGCTGAGCAATTAGATGGCATTTATGGTTGCTAGGCTTGATGTTGGCTGTATGCATCTCTGTGAATTACCTTAAGTATTCTTTATTTTTTTTTAATCTCTTACTGGTTTATGACACAGTTTCCATATTGCACAAGTCAACTGTGTAGCAAAATCTTCATTTTACTTTGTAGTGTATATTTAATTGCATTTTTCTATTTGTTTTATTCCTATAGTATTTAAACTACCATTACACTAACATGGCTTTCTGACTGCAGTGATATTCTGGGCAACATGTTGATCTATGAAAGTTTGTAAATACTAATTTCAGAAAATACCTATATGATCGTTTTCTAACCGGTACGTGTCTTCTTAATTCTGTTGCATCAGGGCAATTATATGTTGGTCTGAAAAATTCGTATCATGAACCCATTCTTTTTACCAGATGCAATATTTGAGCAGTTTAGCATTAGACATGAGTTTAGTTCTCATGCTGTCTGTCATCCAGTGTATGGGGTTCCTCTGGAGCTGAGTGAGCTGCTGTCTTAAGTCCTTAAGTCATTTCTGTGCTTCCCTGCTTGTGATTAAAAAGATTGTAAAGGTTATTGTGACTTATGGTGGTAGCCTGTAAAGGCAGAAGGTGAGACTTCAGTGCTTGTGATAGCAATGGCAAAGAATAAAATGGTTAGTGGTGCTGCTAGTCAAGAATCGTCTGTGCTTCTGTGAATCTGTATGAGTATTACATATTATCTTAAACACAGGAAATTTATGCTTCTGAGGCAGTGCCTGCTTTTCTCATTGTGGGAGATGCAGGTCCTGAAAAGTGCATCTCCTTTGACAGTAAGCCAGGAGAATG